TTTTGAATAATTTTTCAAAATGGGGATGATTATGCTACTAATCTATTAATCCAAGAAGTGGAATGACACATGGTCAATTGTATAATGGTAATTCTCGACATTATCTTATTGTAAAAACAGTATCATTATGCAATTATTCTCAACTATAGAAATCTTAATTGACTACGTGAAGTCAAAAGATAAACAAAGCGATAGTTGACAAAATGACAAAAGAAATGAGACAGCCAGGAAAGTATGAAAGTCTTTTGAAGGAAAACCCAACCTAGTTGACTAGAGATCCCAAGATCTAGGTTCAAAGGGACAACCTAATCTTAAAACTTAGTGTGGTCACTGTGGGGGTAACCACAACTCATTTCTGTCATGAAACAGTGATATAACGGATAAGGATAGCAAAATGTTACTTTAATAACTCTTAAGTGAGTAATATCATTTACTCTAGGCTTATGAAGTCACTTATGTAAGAAAGAAGTGGGGCCGCTTCAAAGGAGAATTGGTCAGACTCAAATCTTTAGAAACTCTCGCAGAACTAGGATGTGTTCATGGCCAAAACGAACAAAACCATGAGAACGGAACTAAAAAGAAATAGTTCCTGTGTATTGTATGTTGGTTCGTTATACAATACAACCGGACAGTTCAAGGACATCGCGTCTACTGGACAGCTAGCAAAGCAGACATACGTTACAACGGGGAGTTCAAAGGATAACACCTACTTTCTTTATACAGGACTAGTTGATGAAAATCAAAACCTAGCCAGAAATAATTTCCATTCACGTGAGGGATTGTTGGAAATAAAGCTAAGTTATAGGAGTGAATGAGAAATTAATTTCTCATTTGATTGGACTTGTCAAGTGTGACTCGAGCGTAGGTGTGCCTACAAAACGTCGGATAGTATGGAGAAAACTCAGGAGGGGGGGAGGTGGGAATGAAAATTCTAAACCGTATCCAAAAGATTGAATCTGAATTCTGTTAAACAAACAATGAGATGAATTTTGAATCCGAATCCCCATTCCGAATCCCAACAATCAAACGGCTCCTAAATTTTATAATTCAATATGAACTATTTTACTAAAACAGAATGAGTGTTGATTAACAATTGCATAAGATTCCAAAATTTCAATGGCGAAATTATGAATTTCAATTAACAGAAACTTATGAGTGCTATTGTGCATTATGTATATTTGTATTGTAAAACAATAATAATCGGCTTTACTACACTATTTAATTTTGGTTATTGGAAGTAAATTAAAATTTAATTAGGGTAACAAAACTAATACGTTGGCATTGGAAACTTCGAAGGTGGAAACCACGGCATACAAAACTATAATTCATATTAGCAGCCATGTGTTTTGATTTGTATATGGGCACAATACTAGATAAACATTGTAGTTTACAAATGAAGAAAGAGACTCGCTGGTTTTTTTTTTTTTTTGGTGTGTTCAACGGATTATCAAAAATACTAAAATAACACATAAAACTATTGAAGGTTATAACCTATCAAAGATTCGAAACCTTTCAAGTAGGATGATGCAGAGTAACATACTATTAAATATGAAAATAAAGATGCAATAAGAACCTCCAATTCTCTCTCTCTCTCTCTCTCTCTCTCTCTCTCTCTCTCTCTTCATTCAACAGGCTATCAAAAATATAAAATAGCAACCAAAACCCATTGTAAGTTTTTAACTTAGTAAAGGCTCGAAACCTTTTAAGCAGGATGATACAGCGCGACATACTACTAAAGAGAAAAATAGAATACAGTGAAACCTGCTTTTTCTTTTTGCTATTCAACGGAATATAAAAAAATATAAGTTTAAATAAGACGATGCAGAGTGATATGATGTTAAAGATGAAAATGAAATTGGAATGAGACGCACATGGGGACGAACCCTTCATAATTAGATAATGCTAGTAAGGAATTTCTCTTTAGACAAATAAGCGGTGCTTGGTTCTTTTTTTTTTTAATCCAACATGCTGTCGAAAATACTAAAATAACAGCCAAAGTTATTGTTGGTATTTAACCTAGCTATCAAAAGTTCGGAACCTTTTAAGTAGGATGATGTAGAATGGCATGTTATTAAAGATGAAATGAGACCCACCAAGAAATCGTCCTTCATGATTAGATCACGCTAACGTAAAATTCTCTTTAAACAGATAAGTAGTGCTTAATTTGTCTTTATACGGTATTTTTTGTTCAACGGGCTGTCAAAAATACTAAAACAATAGTCAAAATTATTGCAAGTATTTAACCTATCAAAAGTTTAGAACCTTTTAACTAAGACGATATAGAGTGACATGCTGTTAAATATAAAAATAAAGATGGAATGAGACGCGCCAAGAGACGGTCCTAGAGACGGTCCTTCATAATTAGATAACACCTGCGAAGAATTTCTCTTTAGAAAAATCAGTAGTGCTTGGTTTTTTTTTACGCAACATTTTTTTAGTTCCATGGGCTGTCAAAAATATGAAAATAATAACCAAAATCATTGTACGTTTTTAACCTACCAAAAACTCAAAAAATTTTAAAGACAATGTAGAGTGACATGTTAAAGTCATAAAGATGAAAATGAAAAAGAATTGAGACTCGCCCATTTTTTTTTCTTTTTTGGTTCAACGGGCTGTAAAAAAAATACTAAAAAATAGCCAAAACCATTGCATGTTTTTAACCTAAGACTCAAAATCTTTTAAACAGGGCGATGTTAAGTGACACGATGTTAAAAATCAAAATGAAGATATAATGAAATCCACCGGAAGACAACCCTTTCATAATTAGATAACATTAGCGAAAATTTTATCTTTTGATAAATAAGTAGCGTTTGATTACATTTTTATTTATTTATTTATTTTTCAGGTTCAACATACAACCAAAAATATTAAAACAGTAGTTGAAACCATTGGAGGTCTTTAACCTACCAAAGACTCAGAACATTTTAAGCAAGCCAATGTAAGGTGACCTGCTATTAAAGATGAAACTCAAGATAAAATGATAACCAACGGAAGACGTCTCTTTCATAGTTAGATAACCCAAGCGAAGGATTTTTTTTCGGACAAGTAAGTAGGATTTGTTTTTTTTTTTTTTGGTTTTTGTATTTTTTAGTTCAACGGGCTGATAAAAATACTAAAGTAGTAGCCAAAATCATTGTAAGTTTTTTAAGTTACCAAAGACTCGGAATTTATTAAACAGGACGATGCAGAGTGACTTGTTATTAAATATAAAAATGAAGATTTTTAACTAATTTGTTTGTACTGCAGGTCGTTGCAGGACATCATGCGTCGAGCCGGTTATACCTAAAGGTACAAGACATGAAATTGTCGATACTACGATAAATACGTCGAAATTGTGGAAAAAATACAGAGTCATTAATTTGACCTAACACACGAGACTAAGACACTGTGCTGAACTTGGTACCCAAAGGTACAAGACCCTTTTTTTTTCTGTATACTTAACATGGAGAAAACATTTCGAAGATTAATATCTAAATTACAGACTAAACACTCGTCGTGCAACACATGGGTATACTACTAGTTTGATAAAAAGCATTTTTTTTTTCTTTTTTAACAAGAAAGAGAAAAAAATTTATCAACAACTATAAATTGTCATCCAGCACAATTTAGAATAGTGAAGAATTTTTTGGGGGGAACAAACTTTTTTTTTCTTTTTATTTTTTATTTTTGGTAGGGATCAAGAGAGAGAAATTGAATAAAATGATGGGGGAGATAAATAATAGTACCCAAATTTTTAAAAAACTCTTGGGTCTCTAAATATTCAGATTTAATCGAAAATTTTTGCTCTAGCAGAGATACTTAATAGAATGATCTCGTCCAAGCCTGTTCATTAGTTCAATGAACTTGTTCAATTAATGTAGTAACCAAAAACTAGATATTCACAGATATTTAGTGACCACTATTACAGTTCACCAGCGGCGGCTTCACCCGCTTTAAACCCCCAAATATTAGAGGGCCCTAATTTTTAATATTTCTTAATATTATATATACATATTTAAGAAAAATTAATCACCTAAAAAAATGTTATTTACAAAACTAAAAATCAATTATTCCAATTAATCAAATAAATGTTTTAATATACTAAAATAAGATCAATATTGAGATTATGGTTTTTGGTGTGAAGATTTAGTAAGTTAACGTTCCCTATTATATACCCTTGGCTTTACAAAACTTAATCTAAACTGACAAAAAGAGTTTTTAATCCCGCCTATTCTAGATCGGATTTATAGTTTTCGCTGAATAATGAGAAAGATTAACCTTTTTCTTTTAAAAGGCCCAAATTTTGAAACTCGCTTTAGATCCCCTAAGACATTAAGCCGCCCCTGCAGTGCACTCTTAAAATTTCATTTCCGTTTCATAACCTAATTTTGTGAATTGTACAATTTTTAATATAATTTATAATTTACAATGTAAACCATTTTTGTAGGATAGCCTGAATACTAATTATACAATTTGAAACAATAGTGGTGAAAAAATATCAAAATCTCTTGAAAAAAACTTATAGTTTCAGTTTTTTTTTTCTCATTATTTGTATTACATTAAGAAAAAATTATAAATTCGAAAATTATTATTTTTTATCTTAAAAATTGGAAAATACACTCAAATAATGAAAACCATAAAAATTGTTCTATTCTATTTTATGAATTTCTCCCTCCCCCCCCCCCAATTCATCAACGTTTCTTTTTCACAAAGACATCATTAATTAGCACCTGTATTTAAAATTTTAATCATTCAAAATATATATAAACAAAAGAAAAAAAAGAAAACATCAATTAAAATCCTACCTTCCCCGCCTCCCAAAAAACCCCTCATCATCTTCTCCGGCCTCCTCCTCCTCCTCCTTCTTCCCGCCTTCCGTATTCTCTTTCACGCACTCACACACTGAACTATAGTGACAGGGAGTGAAATGGTGTCAAGTTTCTGCCTATAAGACCACCGGAGGCCCTTTTTTATTTTTAATTTTTTTTTGGTTGGTTTTGTTCTTTTAATCCAATGTTCAAATGGCTATTTTAAGGCCAACGTTATACTTGTTCAGTCGAAGAAGAATGGCCGCTTCCCGTTTCTTATCAGCTCTTTCGTCCTCTTCCCTATACTCTCAACAGAGCGCTACTCTGTTCACTGGTGTTTCCCGTTCTTCTCCTTCAGTCCCAGTTCTCCCAAGGTATTATCGGCTCTTTTCTTTTTCTTTTTTTTTTATTTATGTTTTTGTTCTGGGATTTTATTCTGCTACTACTTGGAGTGCTCAAATGCCGAAAGTATTTGGAATTGTTGTTGTTTTGATGGTGGGACTTTTGTTTCATGAACGTCCTGATTTTGTTTCAGCCACATAGTAGCTTAATTCTATCAATTTAGCATTTTTTTCCCCCTGTTTTTGGTTTTGATTTTTGGCGAGTTTCTGTGATACTATTCGTCTTAGTATCAGTTGTACGCAGTGAGTTTTTTCAAAAGGTTTTGTAAAACCCAGGTGCAATTGGTACCCCCTTCTCTGTTGCATAGGAGGAACTATAATTCGGTTTAAGCTTCGGAAGGGGCAATTTTAACCCATTACAGTTCTGAAAGAGTTTGATAGTTTTTGTTGTGTTCTGTTTGCTGTTGTTTTTAGGAGGAGGAACAAATTTTCTCTTTCAAACCGAAATTTGTTTCAAAATGCTGTATGTCTTAGAGCTTTCATGTCCACCGAGGCAATTCAGGAGACTAAAAAGAAGGGGGCCTACAGTTCTGAACAGATTCAGGTAAATGTTATCCATTCACTTTCTGAATTCTTGAAGGATCTTAGTTGCCTTCTCTAATTACTTCTGGTGATGATAAAGATCTTATATTGTTTTGATGTTTTATTTTGCTGCGCTTTAGGTATTGGAAGGTCTAGAGGCTGTAAGGGTAAGACCAGGAATGTATATTGGCGATACCGGGGATCGTGGCCTTCATCACTTGGTAATTTTCTTGCCTTTGATTGGGCTTCAAAGATCATGTGCCTTAGATGAGTGACTTCATATTGTTGGCTTTTTTTTTGGCTCATAATCTATAGGTGTATGAGATCTTGGATAATGCCATTGACGAGGCACAGGCAGGCTATGCATCGAAGGTGAATGTTACCCTGTTTGCTGATAATTCAGTTAGCATCAGAGATAATGGTCGCGGGGTAAGAACTTTCTTAATATGCTGATCAATTTGTTCTTTGTCAGGGATGTCATGCAAACCGATTTACTCAGAACTGTGGTTTTTGTGCTGCTGACAGAAGAGAAAAGGAAATCATGTGATATTTGTTCATATTAGATTAGCATATTGCACTAGAATAAGAAGCTGTAGGTCATATATATATATATATATTGTATCTGTATTTTAAGATTGTTGCATATGGTATCATGCATAGAGAAGCTTAATACGATTTTTTCCCTGCTTTTCTGAGGAAGAAGTTTATTACTTTAGTATACCTGCTAATGTTTGGTGTTACTTTTCTTGTACACCCAGTCACCTATTTGGCCATTTCTTCCAAAGTATATTCCACAATTTGTTTGCCGAACTGGTACAAGGAGATTTCTTTTCTCCTTCCTTTGTGTTTAGCAGTTGATGCAGCCTAACTTGAGATAAAGGAAATTCAGTTAACTTCAGACCTTTTGAAATTGCTAAAAGAAAATACTTGATTGACAAAATCCTTTTGTTTCTCCACGTGTGAAAATCTTACTGCTGCTTTTATGTGCTTCTTCTGTAGTCTGACAAAATTTTCCTGTGCAGATCCCAACTGATTTTCATCCTGCCACAAAAAAGTCTTCCTTGGAGACAGTCTTGACGGTACGTATGATAAGTTATATGTTTAATGTTTGACTTATCTTAGGGTTCGATATCGATTCAATTCTGTGTGTCAATCGCCTTTTCTCATTTCAGATTTTGAATCTACCCTCTGACTATTTATTTGAATAAAATATTTTGGACTGTCCACTATACATAAGTGAAGCATTAAATATGCATTTATGGGCTTTTTTTTTGGGTTTTTTCCTCGATGAAGGGAGTTTAGTTATGTATCTTTTATGTGTCTGATGTTAACATGTAAAAATAGCCTGTTTACCTCATTTCTTCTTTTTGTTTTTGGTATAAATCGCTCCTTACATGGCAAGGAAGAAGTAATCTTGAGATGCAGCATGTCTTTTATCATTACTTTGCACTCGAAAGTTTTGCATTCTTGTACTCTAAATTTCAGTATAAAACCAAAGATTGCTTATTCCATTCTAATTCCTTACTGATCCTTGAGGTTGATATGTGGATGTCTGGCTTTTGTGTCTATGTTCAGATGTCTTTGTCCTAGCATCGATATGTACAATTTTATTGGAGTTAGTTTTTGTTGCTGCAAGTGATTTTGCCCTATAATGCCGCAGGTTTTGCATGCCGGTGGCAAGTTTGGTGGTTCCAGTAGTGGATATAGTGTCTCAGGAGGTTTGCATGGTGTGGGCTTGTCTGTTGTTAATGCCTTGTCAGAGGTACATCCCTCTTGCTATGTTTTCTCTATTCACATTCCACCTTGCAATGTGCCTTTACATCTTGGTGTGGGCCTTTAATGCTTTGTAAAAATACGTATGCTTGATGTGGTTTTTTAGGATTCAGCTTCTTATGGCCTTGCTGAATTGTCAAGTGTAATTTCATCCTACGGAAAAAGTTTAAATTGGGCTAAATGTGGTCTGGAGGTCTTTGAACTACCTGTTCTGAAGTAATGAGTTTTATTTCGTACTCGTGCAGTATGTCCATTTGTTATATATAAAGCACTTTAATTTTAGCTTTGTTTATTAATTGTAACGAGGTGCAATTTTCAAGCAAATATATGACCTCATCTTTTGCTTTTAACTGTAACTGAAGTGGCATGACCATATATACCCCTCTTTTGTTTGTCACCTTCAGCCAAGCCATGGTGTTTTTCGTACTGCCCTTTTGGTTTCTGGCTCATCACATGAGAGAATAACATTCAATACTCGAGAATCATATTTTGTTTGATCTAAACTTGGATAAAAAAGGCTTTCTTATACTGTGATTAGGTGAGCAATCAGGTGTGGAAGTTATTATTATAAGGACTAAATTATGAACATGGCCTGTGTGTTTCTGATTCATCATATTTTTGTTCTCCTATGTATATATGATGTAGGACCAGTGTGGTTGTAACAAGCTCAGTTTGTACAGGTTGGTTTTATAACTATAACACAGTGGAAATTCAGTGAAAACTGGAAAAATCACAACGAAACAAGAACCACCTTCTCTTAGAGACGCCTTTCACAATCTTGGGACCTTTAGCTTTAGGCTTGACACCCGAGATTGGGTTGCATCATACGACCCCAGAAAAGAAATGCTTTTTCGGGAACTTTTTTATTCATTGCTGTCTTAATTTTCTCCCTTAGGGGAGGTGTAATATTTATAGTCATTAAGACCTAAACCAAAGACAACTAGGGCCCACTTCTATTTTCCTTATTTAAATTACCACTTGACTGACTTAATAAGGACTCAAAATGAGAAGTACTAAATTCCAGAAACCTTACGTAATGGCAATTATTGAAATACCCTTTAAACTGAAATTACTTGAAAAAAAAAACTATCTGAAATTCCTGGATACTATACTTAGTGAAGATTAACTTAAGCCAGGGTCTAATGCTATGGATGCATGAGTTCTTCTACCCTTCCTTATCCACATCTATTTATTTGTAAATTCTTTGATCTTATTTCTAAGATGGTCCTCAACTCTTCTGCCCCGGAAAGTATTTATGGAAATGTTATCCCTTCTCGTGGTATAACTGATAGTTTCATCATAGCAATAGACCATTCTAATCTTCAATTAGTAGGATCAGATGTTAAATTTTTTTCTAAAGCGGCAACTTTTCCTAGCTGTTGAGAATGACTACTCTGGCTTTTTCGTCTTCACATTTCTGTGGGGAAGAGGAGTTGGAGGTGAAGGACATTAATAAGTAGCTGTCTGTTTACTTCATTTGTTGGTGCGGTGGTACATGGTCATTGGTTACCTTGTGCTTTTGCTCACATTGAGAAACCTTATTTCTTCATTTATTTATTTTTGAATTATGGAAAGAGATTTATGGTAGTTGAGCTTCATGTTTTGCTTTTGGAAACTTTTCCTGATTTATGCATATACTATCCAGGCTCTTGAAGTGACTGTTTGGCGTGATGGGAAAGAGTTCAAGCAGAAATATTCACGTGGGAAGCCTCTGACGTCCTTAGTTCACCATGAGCTTCCGGCTGAATTAAGAGGTCAAACCGGAACTGAGATTCGGTTTTGGCCAGACAAAGAAGGTTAATTTTTTGTGTCGTAAATTGAATGACTCTACTCTTTCCTGTTCAAGTCATTTCCAAGCTGATGCCTGATGTATTTGCTGGCCCTTGTTTGAGTTTGCAGTGCTCAAAACTGCAACCCACTTTGACTATAACACAATTGCTGGACGAGTGAGGGAGCTTGCTTTTCTGAATCCCGAGGTAATTTTTATTTCTGGGTTCCTGAAGTTAGCTTGAACTTAGGGGACTTGTGGGATTTGGAACTAATGCAATATTATTTTCCCCCCAACTTTGTTCAATTACCAGTAATATTATTATTTTATGTTTTCTTGGTTTTCTGGAACTTTGAATGTGAAGTTTCTACCATATAATAAATGAGTTTCTTTTCCTTTGTCTGTTTCCATTTGATATTTCCTATAACATGCTAGTTGCTACCTCACTATATGTATATGCTTGTACACTATTATGTAATGATTTTAATTTTTTGGCTCTAAAAGAAAAATGGATTTAACAAATTTTATTATTGGCATTTTTGGATTACTAATTGGATCTGTTTCAGTTGTTGCTCTGCTTTTGCCTTCATGGGTATTGTTTTGGGTCTGTTAACTAAATCATGTGTGCACTTGATTTAAAACTATTCAATTTGACATTTAGCACCGTTCTTATCTCTGCAATACAGCTGACAATCACCCTGAAAAAAGAGGATTCGGTTGAAGAAAAGATTCAGTACAATGAATACCACTATGCTGGAGGATTGGTTGAGTATGTGAAATGGTTAAATGCTGATAAGGTATGCTGCCTTATCTCATGTTTTCCAGGGTTATATCTGCTCTTTGGTTTGTAAGCTTTGCCGAATGTTGTGACTATATTAGTACTTTCGAGGTGGTCTTATGCTTTTCTTTTCTGTTTGGTAATATTTTTTTGAGATTATTGGAGGAATAGATCGTCTCAATTAACTTTGACTTTGGAGTACATGCATGTTTAATTATAGTTTCTCTCCTTTTTGTCCGTGCATTCGAAAAGTTTTAGTCCTGGCTGGGTACTTCTTAGCTTTATATCAAGAATTTCTTTGTGAGGCGTGGTAGACCAAATATGAGTCATACTCCCATTTTATTCCTAGTAATATTTTTACCATTTCCGGGCGTGTTAGAAATTAGCATTGATGCTGAACGAAATGAAGTACCGTCAACGGTTGCTATGCAACTTCCCTGGTTAATCAATGATTGCAGTGAAGGGTAGTTACATGTGGTCACTTGTTTAGAGGGTTTTTTCTATAGGAAGGATGAATTCAGAGGAAGATCATATAAGATCCTGATGAGAATTTTTTTGAACAATGATACTGCTTAAAAACTCTACATTCTGTGCATGGTTACTGTTGACTTTAAAAGATCATTGTGATTGTTTTCTTATTCATGATCAGGGTATGTGGGATTTTAACATGTTATTCTTGCTTCCTTTTGCGATAATCCGTTTTTCTTTCAAAAGTATTGTTTGTTAGTATGCTCTATGGGTGGTAGAATTCTGAAGGAGCTTGATAGGACAAAGAATTGTTAGCACACCTGTTAATGTTTGTTCTGTATTCTGTTTTTACGCCCATTCCTTTGTGCCTTTTATTGAAAAGAAGTATCTCTTTAACTCCAGTGGATTGTTTGTATTGAAGTCATTCATAGGCTATATGTGTTACTTGACCACCATATCTACATTTTCTTCAAGGGTGTTTGGAAGGATTTTGTTTCTCTTTTTCCTGATCACTGTTACTGGTGATCAGATATTCGTGAATGGTTTTAGAAACTCTCACATCTCGCTGTAGAAATCTATTTTGTATATAAGAAAACAAAAGTTTTCGGTTGTATTACTGTTAGACTATTATATCCATCCGGTGGATTTAGGATCTGTATTCATAGAATATCTTGAGTAATAGGCAAGTTCCCCAGTTAAATTCTTACTACGAAGATGTTATTGGGTTTATGTTTAAGAGTGACTAGCTTCGAGCAATTGTATGAATGAGCCTCGTAACCTAATGCAAGTGATTGGGTATGTATGATGTTTCTTTCCTAACATCTTACCCTCTACAGTTAAAGTTATAAAGATTTTCATTGTGTTGATGGCTCATTTGATTTATAAATGAGATTTCTTGTTGGAACTACCAATGATTCCTCGAGATTTGTTTAAATTACCAATACCCCTATTGACCAGTGAGATTATCCCCTTCACCTTGAGTGTGGGAACAGTTTTAGAGAGGATGATTTGTGCATAAGTTCGCAAAAAATGGACGAGTTCACCCACGAACTTATGTAAAAATTATCAAACGGAACATGTGATTTGCAGAAACTAAAATCAATTAAAAGGGTAGAATTAAATCAAAATAGCTGAAATTTTGAAACCACCTGAAATTTCTAGTCTAGCTCTAGCATCTTGAATAAATTGTGTTTTTCAGTTTTCCAACATCTCACATTTTGACAACATTTTAAATGATTAAATCTTTCAATTGTCTTCCATAAATCTTATCAATATCCTTTCCCTCACATTCTGACTTGTGTATGAGATTGTATTTTATTTCTTTACGCAACAATATTAGTTAAACATTTGAAGTTTACTTTTAGGGCAGAGGATTTAAATGAGTGATTTTATACTTGTCCATGCCTTGAGCCTGGCATTCAATATGCAATTTATTTTTCTCAATGCAAACTGCATTGAAATTTGTCATTAGGAAAGGAGCAAAGGAGAGATTTGTAGAGGGGTGGATATTGTTTTCCTGCTCAACACAATTTTAAATAGTTTGTAATATTACCATGAGAATGTTTGTTTTTAGATTGGGAGAAGTAAAAATGATAAAGCTGGAGAAATTGTATTGGGCAGTTTACCTTGGCTCTATTATTGTTTATAAGTTTACCAAACCTTGAGGACCACCTAGGATTTATCGCTACCAAAGCTATCTTCATATGAATTTTGATTGATTGGCTTACCAGCAGCACAATATGCTCATATAATATGGAAGTGTTTGTGTATTGCTCGATGTGACTACTATATCGGTAGACTTTATGTTATGTGCTCTGCCAATGTGGCACATAGAAATTTGTATATCTTAGGCTCTTGGTTGTCTAATTCATATAATTAAGAGTTCTCTCTCTCTATTTTTTTGTTAGTTTAACTTCGTCTTCTATTGCAGAAACCTCTCCATGATGTGGTTGGCTTCAGGAAAGAAGCAGATGGAATCTTAGTTGATGCTGCCCTCCAGTGGTAGAATTATTATCTTATTAATCCGATTGACTCATTTCAGTTCCAATTATTGTGAAGTTGACCTTACTTTTTCCCCCTTATCTAAACTCAGGTGCTCAGATGGGTATTCAGACACAATTCTTGGATATGCAAACTGCATTCGTACGATTGACGGTGGCACTCATATAGAGGGGATGAAAGCTTCATTAACTAGAACCTTAAACAACCTGGGCAAGAAATCAAAGGCCATGAAGGTATATGAGGTTACAGCAAATATGGTCCTCTTTTTTTTGGCCTTACACTTGAGTCCATGATCCAAATTGTTTCTTCCTGGTCTTCACACCCTCCCCCAGGACACATCCCTTATTCATGTTTCTGTCTTTTCCTCGTTTGAGTGCACTGTCTATTGTTCCTCCATCCTGTGGTTCACTGAACCCCTTGTCATCGTTGTTCAATTGTTTTCAATGCACTCTAGTTTTATTTTGCCTTTTCTCCCTGACAATGTGGTCAATTAAATTTCACTCTTACTAGTAAAGCATTTTCCAGAGTCGATATTGCTGCAGTCACTGACATAATATGTTATATCTGAGTGCTTGTTTTCCCTTTCCAGGATAAGGATATTAATTTGGGTGGTGAGCATGTAAGGGAAGGATTAACTTGTGTAATATCAGTCAAAGTTTCAAACCCAGAGTTTGAAGGGCAAACTAAGGTATCTAGCTTGCTGAGGATGCTTATGCAGAGTTTTGCTTAGAAAAGAAAAAGACTGGAGATGTTTTCTTATGAACAATTTAAAGAACTATTTTTTTCTGGATTTGTTGCTGTTTTTCCTCCAAAACAAATTAAGTGACCTTTTTATCTTCTCTGTATGACATTTTCTTGCAGACAAGGTTGGGAAACTCCGAGGTGAGGAGAGCAGTTGATCAGGCTGTTCAAGAATATCTTACTGAATATTTGGAGTTGCATCCAGATGTTCTTGAATCAATCCTTGGGAAGGCTCTTAATGCTCTCCAGGTGTGCTACTTTTATGAAGCCTCCATATAAATAGTCCTAAAGTGCTTTATTTATGACTTGGGGTTTTGCCTCCTGACTGCTAAACTGATGTTTGTTACGACGGATGTTCTGAATGTAGGCAGCACTAGCCGCAAAGAGGGCCAGGGAATTGGAAAGGAAAAAATCTGTTCTAAGACATTCTTCTCTTCCTGGAAAGCTCGCTGACTGTTCTTCCTCTAATCCTGAAGAGATCGGTGTGTTATCCATATGCTCCACTTTTTTCCCTTTTCCACTAAATATTATTGTTGTTTCGTTCTTTTTTCTTTGTTGTTTGGATTGCACCTTCGCGAACCCAAAACTTCATGGTTACAATCCCTCACCATCCCACCCAACCTTCCCACCATTGTCTGTTGTTTTACTTTATAAACTTCTTGTTGATGACCAGATCTTATCCGAGGAAATCTCTTTTATGTCTGTTCTTTTCATAGAACTATTATGTTGTAAAAGTTACATTCCTTTGTGTTAAAAAATCTCTTTGAGGGATGTGTATTGCCTTGTAGACATTATTCAGAGTTGGAAATCTAGTATGGTCATTATTGTCATTGAAGAAACATAATAATAGTTTGAAAATGGATTGTTAGTCATTCTAATCACACCAGATCAGATGATCACTATGAGTTAATATTTCCATTTTCAGAATTCTTTTGTCATTTTTAAGGCCTATATGTTGTGTCAATTATCTGTAGCTACTGTTGTAACACCATTTTGTTAGCATTGAAACTAAACCTTTTGTTAATAATGTGTGCTTGCTTAGCGATCGCATTGTATCATATGCATGCTGCTCCGTACTCTTTCCATAGCCTTGTGTAGCTCACGCGCAATTATTTAACGAGTTTTTGTACATACTGAGAGTGAGCTAGCCCTTTATGTCCTTTTAACTTCTGTTCATACTATTGTCAGTCTGGTTATGTGTACATGTTTTTTGATGTGAAAACAAGTAATATAATTCATTGGTATATTCTGTTTCCAGAGATTTTTATCGTTGAGGGCGATTCAGCTGGTGGAAGTGCAAAACAAGGTCGTGATCGGCGTTTTCAGGTAAACCGATTTCATTGCACTAGTCATGTATATGATCTGACAGGGTAGAAGAGGGGTGAGAAAATGTAGATACTGGGACAGGATGCAGAATAAATACTGTTAATTATGCAAATGATTTGGCAGTACTAATGAGCAGAATGTCAGGATTAGTATCAAATAATGCAGTTCTTTTGGCCCAAGAATATGTGTTCCTTCTTCCGTTTCATCCCCAACTCCTGTAATTCTAAGAATGTGCTTGACTTTCTTTTGTTTATATCTCTGTTATTTATGTTAGGATAGCCATTTCCAGGTTTCACCTGAAAGAATTTCCAATTCTTGACTTCTATTGTTGTCTCTGAGATCCAGAATTAGAAAATTTTGATCAAATGTCTTTTTTTTTTTGGTTTCTCGTGCTTTCTCATTTCAGTACGCATAGTTTAAACCTAGTGAGGACCCCAGCTATTTTGTTTGGGTCAGGAATTCATCTGTTCTCTTAAGCTCAGTTGAACCTGCAATCAGTGTATCCATTTTCTCATTGGAGCGCTTAATTGCCCAATAAGATCTGTGCACCACCGGACAGGACGATGGCAAGGTTTTTCAAATATCAACTTTGTTGGAAAACATTCCAGAAGTTTTCTGTATCAGTTCTATGAACCCAAGTGGCATTATAAAGTAGAAAGCTTGAGTCTTTCCTGCTTGCATTGATTCATTTGTTTTGACACTGCTTTTATTTCTCTGTTGAAGATTCTGCATGACTGTGTTCCTGTGGGTGTAAAGGGATAGAAAACTCATGTAAAATGCCTCATTAAGATTGAAAGCATCCAAAACTTTATCACAGAAGTGTTCCAAATCTTTAACCCATGCTCTTGGATTTGAAGATCTGCTTGAAGGTTTTACATGTGAATTCACATTTGAACTGAGGAAAAAAAATAGATGTGAAAATAGTAGATGTAATCCACTTTGTTTGACATTTTCAAGAGTTTTGTGGAAAATGTGTTCTATGTCTTACTGTGTAAATATGGTGAAAATATTAAATGTTTTCTTTCATCTTATTTCTGATTACATATGGGTGGTTTCTGTTTCTATCTTTCCCCGTGAAAGATTTTTAGTTTTGATATTACATTTTGAGCTTGGAGGATAAACACCATTTTTGGGCCTTGGCTGTAAACTGCAGGCTATTCTCCCTTTAAGAGGTAAAATTCTGAACATTGAAAGAAAAGATGAGGCATCAATGTACAAAAATGAAGAGATTCAGAATCTTATTCGTGGTTTGGGACTTGGAATGAAGGTGCGTAGAGTGCATTATAATTCTTTTATTAACTCCTTAAATTTGTGACCAATCAAATGTTCTCTTTTAGGGGGAGGACTTCAAGAAGGAGGCTCTCCGATATCACAAAATTATAATTCTTACTGATGCTGATGTGGATGGTGCTCATATTCGAACGCTTCTGCTTACTTTTTTCTTCAGATATCAGGTACTGAAGAAAATCAATCTGCATCTTATTGATAACGAAGAATTTTTGTTTAGATGATGTCTGTATTGTAGGCTTGTGCCTGTAATGTTAATTCAAAGATAATGAGCATATTATTGATATTCCTTAGTAAATTTAGTAATAAACTTGTTTAAAATTGATTTTGGCAAATACTTGGACATTCTTAACAGCTCTAACTAACTGATTGCAGAAAGCTTTATTTGACGAGGGCTGCATATATGTCGGGGTTCCTCCTCTTTACAAGGTTTCTCTCAGACTATTTTCTATGAGCTTTCATTTCTCTAATTTGGAGGTTAGTTTCTCAGTTCTCATTGCATTTAGGTTGAGCGAGGCAAGCAATCATTCTATTGCTATGATGATTCAGAGTTAAAGAAGCTTCAGAGTTCCTTCCCTGCAAATGCATCATACAACATTCAGAGATTTAAAGGTACAAACTGAAAGATGAAGAAATTCCTTCATATTTCTGGAGTCCTGGAAAATTTTATATGAAATATATTCTCTGTTATTGCAATGAAAGATATTGGAAGAGAACAAGTAAAAATGACCAGCTGCAAATAGATATGATCACACCAAGAAAACAATACTGAAAAGACATTGACCATGATGACAAATGCAAAGAATATGATGACTGTATCTGATAACTAGTGTATTAAGCCCACCATCTTCGCTTATTGTGTAAAACATAATTTGAGCTTTTATCTTATTTTAGTTCCGGATGATTGTACTTATGTCAATAATTATGTAGGCTTGGGAGAGATGATGCCCTTGCAGCTATGGGAAACAACTTTAAATCCTGAAAAAAGGTTGCTAAAACAGTTAAAAGTCGAGGATGCAGCTGAAGCTAACGTTGTTTTTTCATCCCTTATGGGCACGAGGGTGAGCTGTCTTTTATCAATATCTCTCTGCCTGGTTTTTGAATATTTTTCTTAATTGGTTCCATTGTTGATATGGAAAGAGTAAGGCAAAGATTGAATGATTGATTTTTGCACTGTTTATGCAATTGGTCTCGCTTATGTTTGTTTTGTTGTGGATTTTGCTTGCATTTGTTTTGTCCAGGATTAAGGTAGGTAGAATTAAAAATCTGACATGATTATGAAAGTATAGAGGGAGGATCCTTGCCCTTTGATTGGGTGCTCATCTAGACACTGATGTGGATAGAGTAGCTTGTTTCAGTAGAAAGATTCCTTGCGGTTCTATTAACTACTTACTGCTTATTATCTTCAGTCAACTTTTGCTGTCAATAAGGGATTTATTCTCAGCATTTTGATTCCTTCAGGAGGCTTCTTACCTTTTTTCTTTTCCTTCTTTCAGGTGGATGTCAGAAAAGAACTCATACAAAATTCGGTCAGCATGGTCAAGTTGGACCATCTGGACATATGATGTATAGTCAGATATGGGAGAGGTTGCCCTTTTTGCTGTATATCAATCGAAGCTCAGAAGTGAAAGAAAGCTTACTTCCGGGAGGACTTGTTTTGCACGATAGTTTGGTCACTGACATCATTGGAGGAACAAAGATATTTATCTAACAAGCAACGAATCTCGGTTTCATACTGAAGGGCTTAAGAGAATTGTAGAGAAAAGGATAGGGTTTGAAGAATTGAAGGATTATATCCTCGACCTTCAATCGCTGAAGTAAGTGTCTTGATCCATAAGCTCTTTTCCCACATAATGCTCTCAGTGGTGTTGATATTAGAGCTATGAGGACGCACTTGTATACTTGTACAATTTGAAATTAACAGGTCAGGAAATAGTGTTCTAGGCTGCTTTCATTTGCACGGTTGGTGTTAATTAATTATGACAACCAACAAATTTAACTGACGAATATTGAGTGTACATCCGTGATAATGAATCCCGGATTTGAAAAAACAGATAGAATCATAGCCCCGATTGAACCAAATCCGATCGTCTTAAAAAGAGAAATAGCGTTATCTGTCATTTTAAGCAGGAATTTGGTATCTGGTGAATTAATGATTTCAAATTTTGTTTAAGCCCAGAGAAACGGGCAATGAGACGGGCATAACCGCCTAAGAAACTAACTAGGTCTAGCTCAGAAATCCATGATTCTCCACGCCTAGAACTTTAGATGTCCCCATGCGACTATGCTGGTTATTCATCATTTCTCAAGAAGTTACTGTGAGAATCTATGATGATGCCATTTCAAAATTCCATTTGTAAATCGCGAAATATGATACTCTATGGCAAGCGACGGCATTATTTTCCAAACGGAAGGAAGATTAAGAAAAAAAACTAAACGGACAACATTATTTTCCAACCAAAATCGTAAAGAATGATTCAAACTGCTATTTACATTGGTGGCAAGAACCCAAATATGCAGTTCTCCTAGGAAAAAAACAATTGATATTCACAATTCTTTTCTAGGTGTGCTATAGTTTGGAATGGTATTGCGGCTTTTTATCAACTTAGTGTGACACAGAAATTTTCATTTGGCTGCTTTGACTTTAGAGGAGGATATTGTGCTGTTGGAGATTCTTCAAAAAGGTCTCTCCAACAAGGGAACCTTCCTTGACGAAAACAGCAGGATGTCCTAGCGGAGCTTCTACCCAAGCTTCAGTCCCTCGCGAATACAAGTTTCCCGTCCAAATGTGTTTCCATGAGCTGCTTTCTCCCACCGGAAAATATGCCTTAACATTCCTCTTGCCCTTGTCTAGTACAGGCACCACTAGTATCTCAGTCCCCACTAGAAATTCCTCGTACTTGAACCCATGAACATGTTCATCTTCTGGGTAGTGAAGGAACAGATGCCGACACACAGGGAGACCTTTCTGAGAGGCTTCCTGTTTTATTGAAAAATGGAAAAAGGAGAGAATTTTTATTAAGTGCTTGATCATCATTTAGTAAAGTGGAATACGGAGACTATAAGGACAAAGATTTAATCACCTTAACGAGTTGAATCCTGTAAAACTTCCATGCTTCGTATATTTTTGCCAAACGCCCGAAATGTGATAGAGTTTTGTGGTTGGTGTAGAACTGATGGTTGCCAGATGGTTTATTTCCCTGATTGTATGTATGAAAACAACAAGATTTGATTAGTTACGTATTGGGGAAGAATTTCATAAATTATGTGCATCAGTCTTTTTCTAACTTACTTCGTGCGTTCGAAACACTGTTGTAAATGCATTCAGCTCCATCCATCTAAAGAGCAGTTCTTCAGTTCTTTGGTACTTGATGAATGGTGGTAAGTTTACTGAGCAGTAGCCTCCAATGTCACTGTGGTTTAAGGCATAGCCAGAAATTCCACCACTTAGCAAGCCAGTTACTGAGCTTTTTATCCCATCATTGGCTTGCCAACTCACCATTTGATCTCCTTCCCAGAACAGCATTGCCCATCTGGGGCTGTTTCTGAACCCAGCCCTCATGAAGAAAACCAAGGTGTCGTCGTCGCCTTCTTCTTCATCTTTTTGTCCTTTGCTAACATGAGTATTTTGCCACTCTTCCACGAACTCCCGGTTTATTTTCGCCCATAGCTCTGGATATCTGTTGTGGGCTGCAACTGGATCTTCACCTGAAAAGTCGTGTATCATATATCATGATCTAATAAATAGAATGATACTAGCTCCTGAATTGCATTTTTCCAGTGAAAACCCTTTCTAGGCTGTTTCCGAGGAATTGATCAGTTTGTGTTTCTAACCTGAATATAAGTAAGCATCCACAGGAAGCCCTTCGCCGAAATCAGCCATCCATCCCCGGACTCCATCATTCACCATGTCACGAAGAATCTGCTTGAACCAACTCGCTGTCGATGGATGTGTCAAATCCAACATTCCAACATCAAATGCTGTGTTTGGGACCATATAAGGTTCTCCATGTTTGTCTTTGACTAATATTTCCAGTTTCTTCGCGTCTTCGTAGAGATTTCTCTTGATGTCTGGTTTACTATCCATCTAAACATCAGTAAAGTACAAGAATTTAAGATTCCTTTCTTTAGTTATCCTTAAATCTACAGAGAGATTTTAGACATTGTGCATCTTACCGGGGCTAGACAAGGATTGCAATATGTCATCACTTTGACGTTCTCGGTTTTAAGATCTTTGATTAGTTGCTGCCATCCCATGTACCTTGATGGATCTACCTCCCAATTCCACCATAATTGCGACCCGATCACCGTCTCCCTCTGTCCAACCCAATCCTGTGGTTATGAACAGAAGACATGTTTCCCTGTCTGTCAATGTTTGTGATGATATAGCATCAGAATGCTAAGGCTGATAATTTGTTCTCTTGTTTTTAGTTTTGCCTCCATTCTTGATGAAGTTTTTTACATTTTCAAGACATCATTGTACATTTCCAAATCAACAGTTCGCATTTCTAATCCATAGAAAACTAAGCCACCAATAAAACAGAACACAGGATCACAATCCAAGCAGATTCTGACATACTAATCCCGAATGCTTGGGAAATTTTTACCTGTAGCCAGAATGCTGATATTGGTACGTCATGGCTCTGTAGTTCTTTCCAAACACTGCGAACGGTGTCTGTTCCGCCTTGCATTCCAACAACAGCCCCAGATATTATCCATTCTGGAAGTTCTGGCGGTCTTCCAATAGTTTCTGTGAATCTTTCTATCAACTCAGTAGGCGAACTGCCATGTAATATCCTCCCTTGAACTGTGTCTCCATGGACCTGATTATTCCATATTCCAATTCACGTTTAAATCCTAAAACTTTTGAGTTGCGAAAAACTGCTTTTTGGAAATGAATTGTAATGAAAAGGAAATACCTGTATTTGAACTCTGTCGTCTTTTGTAAGATCAAAAATTGAATAGTTGTATCCCTCAAGGTAAAGGGACCTCATTTTCGATGTAATGTAGAAGGGCGAAGGCGCATACGTTGTGCTCCAATCGCCCCCAGCCCTGCATTTGATCCGAAACTAATTTTGTTAAGCACTTCACGATTTATAGTTGTAGTAATTCAAGAATGCGAATTTGTTAGAACTAAAGTTGGGGACTCAAAAGACCAACAGATACCGTCTTGGTCTCAAGAATGTGCAACTTTATGTTACCTGTAACTAACCAAGTTAGCTGCAAATGTGATGGGTTGATCTCCTCTCCCAATTCCCTGCTCCTGAACAAATATTGGCACTTTTTTCCCTTTAAAATCCATGTGAGAAAACTGCTCACCAAACCCGAAGAATCTTTCGCTTTTTTCACTGGCATGTGTCAGCCAAATCCTATTGAATTTTGTCAATCTTTCATCTTTCAATATAACATTCTCCTCTTCAGAAGATGAAACTGTTACGCTGACTCTTTTTCTGGAAACCAATCCATGTCGTCCAACCCACCGCCTTCGAATCCCAGACATTCTTCTAAAAAATCCCTTGTAAACCTTATTAGAAGAGCCAGAGAATCTTTTCTGAAGTTCCACATTTGGTTTTCCAAGCTTCACTTGGAACCCAATTTGGTTACTGTTCTTTTGATCTATAAGAATCCAGTACCTTGCGGAAACCGAACTTTCTTCCACCTTATCTTCACTGTAAAAATTCCTCTTGGGATTTTCAACCTTCTTCTTATTCTTTTTCCTTGAGTTGATAATTTTCCCAGTTATCATTACCGCAGAAGAGGATTGATCACCGCCACTTTGTTCCTCTGTTTTTGCATTCGTCGCGAAAAATCGATGATCATCCTCATTGGGGTTAAATTTAAAGAATTCATCTTTTCTAACAACACCGACATAATCAATAGTTTGATGATTGCAAACCAGATGAACATCGCCATCTTTCACAAGGAATGATCCCCTGCTTTCTTCCACCTCTGTTTCTGCAACTGCGGCAGAAACAAAAGCCTGCCCTGGAATTGTCGACCATAAATGCCTGGTGGGTTGAGATTTATAAGACAAACTGAAGAACCCTCCATCTTTTGATGACCAATTAAGCTGAAAATCAGCCCCAACATCGTAGATCTCGTGCGAAGCCAGCGATTTGATCAGCAGCTTGCCTTGAACATGGGGGCCAGATCCTGGCGAGGAAGTGAAAGGATTGTTGAGATGCTTGTGATGTTTCTTCGTGATTTTTAGAGTGGCCATGTTGAAATTGAATTCTTCAAGATTGACTTCGAATTATTAAAACTTCTATTTGTAGGATTTTGTACACGTGATGAAAAAATTGGACATCAATCCTAAGAACATTTGTAAGAGGTGTGAAGGTTCGGTTTGGAACAATTGCAAAATTACGCGTTTCTGCATGGGTTATTTATGGCAAAAAGTCATTGGTCCTCTATAACTCGCTATTTGAAGGTTTCAACATTGATCTGCTGTTAGGATTTGGTTTACTTTGGTCCCCCTTTGACAAAAAAATGGTCCATTTTTCCCATTTAGAGACATGTATTACGTGGGAATTCAATGATACTTATCGAAAGTAACAATATTCTACAGTTTTTGTAAGATTAAATAAATTTGGTCACTAAATTCGGAATCTCTTAAATCAGCAAATACTCTCACAGCACTCTTCAGATTCCGAAGATTCAGTTTTTAGCAGCGTACCGAAACCGTAGTCATGTAGACGGAATTGTGGTCAGATACATTTTTTTTTTTTTTTAATGCCAAATATGTGCTGATGTATCTGGACGGGAATCTCGCAACGTGAATAGTTCTGTTAATTATAACGTGCAAGCAAGATTCAGAATTATTACATTCTTCCAAAACAAATTAGTATCCCACAAGGCACACATTGTTTTTTGTCCCTTTTTACTATTCTCCTAGTCTAAAAATTATTATCTAATTTAGATTTTCATTTTCATTACAAATTGAACTAAAAGTGAAAATCCAAACTGGACAAAAATTTTGAGACTGAGGGAGTACCGTAGATTTTTTTAATTTTTAATTTATTTATTTTTTTGCTTAACTATCAACTCAATATTGCAATTCGATGACATTTACCTTTTTTCTCCAAAACGAAAAAGCATTGGTTAGCGGAAATAAAAATATTTATTGACTCTTTCATGATTGAAAGAAACTAATCATTAATCAATGAAGAGGGCTGCTTTGTAGTACCAAAAACAAATTTACAGATAAATAAATAAAAATAAAGAGGGCTGCTGTTTTGACTGTTTCCTATGTACGTTTTTTTTTTTTGGGAAGTAAGGGTTCACTGACTTGTATTCACTTATCCGACAAACAAAAACAAGATGCCATTTTTTCTTCTGAATCTTCCCATGATTTAGGACTTATTCCTAAGCACAGGGTTTTTTATGAATCTGGTCCAAACCTAGATATATCATTCATCTTAGTATCTCACTTTACTTGCGCGCGAGGACATATAATTCTCTTCGTCTTTTAAGTGTTTCTTTCAAAATGTTTATGTATTTGAGACTATTCACGTAGTAATGAATTTACGGTCACGAAAATTCATGACTCTAGTCACTATGTTTTACTCTGGAGAAAATATCCAATGAAGTCGCTTACAATGTTAGAGCATAATTAATTAGAGACATGTTTGATAAGTATAATTTTATTTCATTTTTCTAATGTGGAAAGTGAACAACAGAATAAGAAGAGTCCAAATTTGATGGTTATCTAAGTATACAACCAAAAAGTGGGTATAGTGGAAGAATAAATATGTGTTGAAATTTTTAACTCGTGTGCTGTATTTGGACATGGATTAAGTTAGAATCAATTATCAAAGTAAGAGGGGTGAAATTGAAATTTAATGTGATCAGATTATGAAAAAACAATGAACGTATAGAAAAAACAAATAAAAAATTAAAAGATTGAAAAAAGATTATTTTGTATTTTTCTTTAAAAACTTGGAGAAGTCATATAGTACAATGTGTAAACTGGCCATTTTAGTCTTAAACTTTCCAAACAATAATATATATATATATATATAATACACCTAGTTAACCAAGTCAAAATATCGGAATTTTCTAAGTTGTTGCCGGAAGGATGAAATTGGCCATATGTCATACTTGGGGATGATATATGAGCGATGTAGTACTGTATGCAAGGGCCCTGTTTTGCCTAGGTTCTGCTAAAAATTTTTGACACAAGGAAAGGGAAAAATGACACAATTAAAAAAAAAAGAAAAAAGAAATTCCAAATTCCAAGTGAAACTGAATAATTAAAGAAACAACAATATAATGCATACATCATAATAACAAAAACGATTACAAATGCAAGCATTGGTTAACCAACTTGCATGGACTCGATCTAAAGCCATTGACCTAGGAATCGAGTGAAGATTCAAGAAAACCACTGTGGAATGAGAGCATTCAAGATCTCAAACAAGAAATTGCGAGTTTGAATCTCATCATCCACATACAAAATGCAGTAACATCTGCATTACGTCCTAAAGAAAAAATTAAACCAAATTAACCTACTAAGAAAAGGAAATATGGGGTATAGTAGAGTTCTACTTTCCAAAAGATCATGCAAACAATTTGTACATCTTCAAAATTAGTGTACAAATTTGTGTTTTCGTCTTGCATGATCATTTTTGGCAAAAGAACTCCTACCATATTTTTCCATTTATTATAGTCATAACTGATTAGGATCTCGTGATTGAACTTGCAAGATTGGCTCATCAGATTAATGAATAGATTTTCTTCCGTGTTTTCGGCCCAATGATGAACGATTGCGACGACCATAGTGCTGGTGATGAGACTGATGGACTAAACCTTGAGCTCTTGGTCTTTCCTGGTTTTGAAGCCCATTAATCAAATGAGACAAGGCTGCCATGGCATGAGCTTGTCTAGACATGAGACTGGTAGTGGATGGATCTTGGCCCAAAACAATGCCATAACCATCATTGTAAGAGTCCATTCCTTGAGCCATGAGCTGCCAAATTAAGCTTCCACCCATAGTACCACCACTTCTTGCAAACCCATAGATAAGCCTATAAACATTGCCCATGAAATCATCTCTGTTGGTCAAACTGAAACCTGGATCTTTGCTTGATTTCCCAAATTCAGCTACCACCAGTGGTTTCTTCAATATGTTTTTTGAATCTTCCCAATGACTAGTCATCCATCTTTGCATGAATCCCATTTGTGCATTGTCATCTTGTCCTGATATCCTGTATATAAATCAGATAAAATATTACATTCATTTAATAATTATTATGGAAATCTCAATTTAAAAATTTTATCGTATAAATTATTATGGAACGAAGAAAATAACTAATAGCTATATATGGCCAAAATTATCTAAATCAACTATAAAGTTGGTGTACTATACCATTGATCTGGATATGCATGGATAGTGGCGAAATCAATCTCCTTGATAAGATGGTTGCTGATGAAATCTGTACCAACTTGATAGCCAGGATTATTTTGTTTCTTTTCAGGCAGTGAGTCTCCATAAAATCCTTCCATTCCAACCTCCAATAAATGTTTGTTATCCAACGATTTAACAAAACTTGCCATCTCTTGCACCCATCCCTACATATACCAGAGTTTTAGTTTAAATCATTAGTTGCTAGGGGAAAAAAAAAAAAAAGGAAAAAGAGAGACTTCAATATTGCAGTAATCTTATTATTAATTGTGTTTAAGTTTATAGTTTGAAGAATATAACTTACATTTATAGTTTTTCCAGAATAGTCAGCTTGGCAACGAGGCTCATTTATGAGTTCCCATGCCATAATGATTGGATCCTCCATGTATGTCATTCTTGTAATGGTGTTATACCTTGTCAAAACTCTCTGCATGCAAATAAATACACAATTAATTGTATAGCGAAAAATTTATGAATAATAATCGATGATTAAGATTTATTAATTTTAATCAATTTCTTACCTTGACATGATCTTTGTAGTATCCTTTAATAACCGGATGTGTATAGAAATCATCATCACCACTGATTTGAGCTCCTGAATTCCTTGCCCATTGAGCATATTGTCCTCTTCCTCCAAAATCATTGTAATTATTCACAAAGCTCAGTATCAATCGAATCCCATATTTCCTTGCTTCCGATATCACGAAATCAAGCCCCTTCATCGCATATAAAAATACAAATTTTAATTTAACAGTCTTCAAAAAAAAAAAAAAAAATCGTTCATTGCCAATAGCATTGATTAATACAATATTATTTAGAAAGTAACGATCATTCAAAAACACCTTAAGCAAATTACCTGAAAAACACGTTCATCATAAGTTCCGGGAGATATTTGAAGAGCTCGATCGCCTCCATCGCTAAACGCCCAAGTCCGGCAAACGGAAAGGCCAGCGGCCGAAGCATCCCTAAACACTTCCGAAACTCTGTACCTCTCGGCTGGCTCAGCCGCGACGTGCATTAGCCAGTACGAGTTGAACCCGTTGAAGAGAAATGGTGAGCCGTTCAGAACGAATCGCGAACCTTGGGTTCGAACGAATTCAACATCATTGTTGGAAACCCTAGCTTCACAAGTAAGCTGACCTAGGAAAAGTGAAAGTAGTGTTACAATGAAAACTTGGTGAACAAAAGAATGAGAAGCCATTGGTTAGTTTTTTTTTTTTTGTGGATGATAAGAGAATTGTTGAATGTGTGAGTGTACTTTGGGGAATGCATGGGAATTCTATTTATAAGGTTTTCGGAGGATAACAGGAGTTGCTAAAAATAGAAAAACTATAAATTGCGCGCGGAAGTTAAGTATAGTTTTTCGGTGACGGTGGTTTGCCAAAATTGTTTTCAGACCTTAAAAGAAAATGAATGATGATTGGTTTTCTAAAGGGAAGTTAATTTGTTGGTTGGAATCCTTACGTCAGTTGGAAGAATTCATGGGATTTTTTCCACGTTAATTGTCTTCAACATGTACATATGGTTAATAATAATAGAAATTTACTAGTGTATATATATTGGATGATGTATTACATGTGATTACCCCATGTGAGTAGTTTCGATTCATTTGAGCTTTCTTTAATTTATTGCTTTTTCCTTTTTTTTTTTTTGAAGTTCATGGAACTATAATTATAGACTTTCATATATAGAATTTTTGCAATAAATATTCACCAATTAATCACTTTTAAAAGTGTAGCTCTTTTAACACAACATTGTATAGTACTTAACGTACAAGAGAAGTAGTAGAAACTCGCCAAAACTAAGTCGCGGGACAA